ACCGGGGGCCAGGTACAACTTTCAAAGGTGTACTCCTACCGACCCACTTCCACCAGGCAGGCCCCAGTGCAGCTGAGGAACAAATATCAAAACATGAGCCTGTGGGGACATCTCAGCTTCAAACGGCTTTCCATTCTGCCCTCTCTTCCTCTAGGCCCAGCTTCATGCAGTTGTCTCCAAACAAGGTTGGGTTATTTGGTTGGTCTTGGCCTCTGCGAGCTTGCTGAGGCTTCATTAGACCTCCAAGTCCTCTGACAACTCAGCAAAATCCACCTGTCTCCACCAGGCATGTCCCTAAACGGATGCCAAACTTTGGGGAGCTCCCATCCCGTTTCCACGAAGTCCAGACCCTACTCTCCAAAACCGCTGACGATCTGGGGCCAAGTTAATTATAAATGACAGTCACGGCCCGTTTCTCTGCCACAGCAGCTTCTAGAGTCTAGGGGTGACTTCCCCCTCCTGACAGCCATGATCACCCCACTGTGTGCCATCTGCCAGTCATTATTCCTTCCAGAAAACCACTAACACAGATGGCAGTGTGGCTGGAGGTTGCAGAGGCTAAAACAGCATACCGCAAAACCAACTGCACACCCAGTGTCAACTGTTCAGATACGTGTATCAGCCGTTTCCTAGAGCAGGGAATTCCAACGATATGCCTTCCTTGGTCTTCATCCAGGCTCCTTTCTCTGGTTCCTCCTTCTATCTCCCACACACATTAGGCCTCACCCTCTTGCTTCCTGGCTGCCTCCTACAATTAAAGTCCCTCACCCTTCTTACCCAGAGTCATCTGTCTCCCTCTTAGCATCTCTTCTTCTTTTTCCCTCCAGGTCCCAACTTCCTCCATCAATGGTCCTGGTTCCCCCTGCTCCCCCAGGACAGATGCCAGCCTGCTCATCATGAACACGTTGTCAGGTGCAGGAAACACACGGGAGCTGTTTCAAACAGTCAAGCTCCCCATCCCCGCCATGTATGAGCAGAGCTTGCTTCCAACAAGCCAGTAATTCTGCAGATGCCAGGCTCTGAGATGGTTAAGCCAAGATGACAAACACCATAAAGCAGATCTTCATGAGGAGAGACTGCAAGTCTCCGTGCGTGTTTTCATTTCGAATTAACACTTCCCCAAAGCACCACCTGTTACCCTCTTCCATGGCTTCTCTATCCTCTGGACCAGTTTTCTTTCCTCCAGTCACTTAGTGAGAAATAAAACCATCCCACTAGTCAACATCTCAGTTAGTTACGTTGGCAGTAAACACATGGGTCTCCAGGCTTAGTTCCCAGGGGCACATGCCTTCCCGCCCCCCAAAGGCTGTCAACTGTCCAAAGTCCACCTATCCATCTCCCAGGTACCATGAGATGAAGATGGATAACATGCCCAACAATGTCATCACCTATTTCCAATGTACAGCAGGGTCTGAAGGCCAGCGTCTGAGAGACTTTGTACCCTGAACCTCTAAATGGTTCCTGGGGAGCAGGCCTAATTATATCAGTGCCCTGCTTAAAATCCCTAGATGCTTCCACGGTGTACACAGCACAAAACTCAACCATGTTGCAATGATGTCCAGGGGATGTCCTACCTGACCCTGAGACAGCCTTCCAAAGGCATCATTCCAAGTAGCCCAGGGGCTCAAGTCAAGGCCCAAAGAAGAATATGGAGGAATAGTCTGACACATAATATTTTGCAAAGTCTTTTTCAAAACACACACATGTAGGCCAGACATGGTGGCACACACCTTTAATCCCAGCACTCAGGAGGCAGAGATAGGTGGATCTTTGTGAGTTCAAGACCAGCCTGATCTACATAGTAAGTTCCAGGACAGCCAAGGCTATATTGAAATACCCTGACTCAAAAAAGAAAAGGGGCGGGGGGGGGAGGGGAGGAAGAGAAAGAGAGAAGGAAGCATGGCTCTTCAGAAGCCAAGGGCCCTTGGATGATGTCCACCCTCTGTGAAGCTCCTGACCCTGCCTGACCAAAGGTGGGACCTCACTGACATCCCAAGACAGGCTGGCAAGCACAGGGCCACTGTGCTTTGCATTCAGATCGAGCTGTGCGTGTTCTCAGGGATGACGACGGCCCCAAACCAGGAATAGGCACAATGTCAGCAAAGGAAGTTCCTAAGCTGGGAGAGGACCACACAACGCAGAGTTCAGAGCCAAGTGTAGCACAGTGGCAGGAGGCAGGAAGTGGAGCTTCAACGGTCCAAACACCTGCAGACGGAGGAGGCCTACAGAGTCTTCAGTAAGGGCCAAGGCCGTTGCCCCACAGAGCTTAAGACGGCCAGGTGCAAGCGCTGTCAGAGAAAACCTCAAAGGCCCGGATGAGCTGAATGACAGAATGTTTGCTCTGCATACTCAAGGCCCTAGATTCAGCCTCCGTGCCCGGAAGAAAGCCTAGAGCAATGATGTAGAGTAATGTAAGGAAACCTCCCCCATACACAGTTAGAAAGTAAGTAGAGATTCAGGCTAGCTGGAGGGCTGAATGGGTAAAGGTGCTTGCTGCCAACCCCAACAATCTGAGTTCAGTCCCTGGGCCCCACATGATACGAGGAGAGAACCAACTTCCATAAGTGGTCCTCTGGCCTCCGCATACATGTACACACCACTAAATAAGTAACTGGAAAACAAAGAAAGAATGAGAGAAGAAACAAAGTCAACTGGAAGGTTCAACTCTAGTCCGACCTGAGTCAGCGGCACTTACCATCAATTGTTTTTTTCTGTGCTGGGGACCAAATCTAGGGCCTTGTGCATTCCAGGTGAGCACTGTACCACTGAGCTACATTTCCAGACCAATGCAAGTCTTTTAAATATCAAATTATGCACATTGAGAGAGAGAGAGAGAGAGAGAGAGAGAGAGAGAGAGAGAGAGAG